TCGCTACTATTTCTTGGACCTATCCCTAATTAAGAAGACTCAGTGCAGTGCTAAGCCAGCCATTAAAATATTGGAAGCGCAATTAAGCAGGAATCTGACTTCAGATTTAACAGTTTGACATTATATGGCGAAAGCCAAGAGAATAGCGGGGCAGCATAATAGAGTCTATCTCAAGGTTATGCTGCGCGAGATGAGGCTGATTGGAGTTATAACCGACTCAGTCAGCCTTATCTTCTTCCCACTGTTGTTAATGGATCACTTCATCATCACATTACCATGAAACCTTGAGGCAAAGTTCTGTACATCTAACAGTTGGGTATGCCAGCTGTTACTGCTTTTGAAATTACCGCAGGAACATTACTGTTTGTAGAAGCTAATATATAGTGTCCAGATTCCATCAGAAGTCAAGTAACACTTGTTTGCACGCAGAGCGTGCTGGGATCACTACCTTCAGATGTCATCATAGGCTCTGTGGTTACTTGTCTACAGTCGATCAGGTTGGAGCTGTGAAAGTGTATACTGGTTTGGAGCAGAAGAACCACAGTGAAATAGCTCATTTCACTGTACACATTTGGTAAAATTCTAGCAGAGATTGGAAATTAAATGATTTTTACCCATTACACATACACACCTCCAGTGTTGCAGGGTAGAGAATTATTTTCCTATTGTTTGAACATTTTGAAACATTTTCTTTAAAGATCATTAAAACTGTGTGGTTTTTTTTCTGTGGTGTGACAAACAAATTAGTTTTTTCTTGATCAAATACTATAAAATCCTAACTATACAGCACCATCTGTTCCAGAAAGCAGATACCCAGTTTATGGATCACCATCATTTTAGTGGAAACTAGTGTTGGCATTATTGAGATTAATTAAAGCCAGTAAATGAAGAAGGGATTTGGGTTGTTTGATCGAACAGTATTTTTTTCAAAGCATCTGTTTGTATAGACAAAGACGTAATTGTTTGCCTTAAATTAATTAAGGACCATCGATTCTAAACACAAAGTAATCTGTAGTCGAGAGGATGTTACACCACTAAACTGCCTTGCACACAAACCGACACACATTCATTTCTGTGACACACAAACATTGTTTATGTGCCCTCTGTTGTGTGCTCTTTCGTAACAAACTAACAAGTGCTTGCATAATCAAGTTATTATGCAACAGAAATAATGAGTTTCTCACCTCACATTTGTTGAGCAGTGCAGCAGGTGGTAAACTTCTGTTCCCATCCTGTGTCATGTGAACCTGCTCAGAGGTAGAAATGTGATTTGAATATTAATTTAGGTGTATTGGGAGCAAGTGTGAGCAGCAGTTGTTAACACAACTCTAATAAGATCAAGGCTCTGCGACTACAAAGCATGGACTACACTCTTAGTGGCACTCGGCTGGGATGTTGGGATTTCCATTTAACTTCCTTAAGTTTAATAAACAGGCACCTGATAAACAAATGGTTTAAAGTTTAAGGAGATCTGATGGTACTTTATTGGAGAGAAAGTCTTCCACCTGGAGCAAAATGACGCTGTGCTTGAATTTCCTGAGCTGAATATTTCAAACCACACTTCCCGTAGAGGCAGTGACACCTTTGTTATGCAAATAACTGTGTGCAGTGCTATTTCAGTCACACGTTATACATTAGAAAGGTTTCTTTCCGCTGTTTTCTTTCAAATCTGCATGAAAGCGGCTCAAAATGTAGTCTGCCTTAAAAAACTGCCCTTGATAGCTGTGTTCAGACCTTAGAGTCCTCACACAGGTTGCAGTTTGAGTGCTGTTTTGTTTAGCATCTTTTCCCTGCCTCTATTCAGTTTATAATATGTTAATTGAAGTGTAATAATTATAATGTGATTAAGGCCATAAAACATAGGCAGACCCCATGTAAACAATTCTATCTATTTATAAGATGTAATTCTTCTTGCAATTAAGGTTGAATTATCACAGTAACATGTGGAGTTAGTTTAAGTATAATCAATGTTTGTACACCTTGATTATATACATTTTTCACTATATCATGTTACATAGATTTGAGCTAAGCTGGGACACAACATATATATACGTAGTAACACAGAAACAAAGCAACAGAGAGCAACAGATATATGCCGACATATAGATACAGACAGTACAAAAAAACATTATGCTTGTAGAACAGGGGAACAGTCTGGCAGGGTTGGATTATGGGTTGCCAACAGACAGTGCCCTGAGGATACAGATGACATGGAGTCTAAGCTTGGATCATTTATAGATGTCAGTGATGTGAAGTGAACTGGTGTGAGGTTACTTTAGTCAATTGATACTGGATGTCACATAAAAGCTTCTCTGAAAAGCAGGGAAATACAATCTTTAAGGTTTCATATTTTAGTCTTAAAGCCTTATCTGGTGATATTTAGCCGTAATATAATTTATCTAAGTTGCAACTTTAGAATATATAAATGAAAGAGTTCAACTTATTTCACTTTAAATCATTCTGACTGCATATACATGAAAAGGGAGTTTTTGTAACAATTTCCCTTTATTCCTAAGGGAAGCTTCTACAAACTTTGTTTTTGTGACATCTCGTGGCACTTGGCAGCTGTGTCAGGCGCGATGGCATTCATGCTAGTCTCACAAATGTTTCTTTCTCACCTGCTCCCATTTGATTTGTTGATGATGTGCTGTGAACTGGACTTTGCTCAATACATTTTTTTGCTTGCAGCACCCAACTGCTCAGAGCCGGTCAACAGTTGAAATTACATTTGTGTTTTGTGATTTTGTATTTATGTAGCCTTTACCAACAAAACATGATTATACACATATTCAAATGATAAAATGTTGTGTATGGCTTTCCAGCTGGATTTTCACATATTTATATCAAATAGAATGTGTTTTTTAATCCATTTACTCTGATGGCTGATTTAAATAATCGCCCTACAACACATATTTGTCATTGTCTGCTATTGTGTTGGCAGTGGGGATTATGGAGGTGGCTTTATCCCCTGCATGTGGTAGACCGACTGGTGAACACGTTGTTGCTGGAAGCAAAACAATCACATCAATTGTCTGTTTTCTGCCAGAAAGGTTTCACAGAGCCTGTAGCATTATTTTGAAATCCCAACGAGATTGTCTGTGGCTGTTTTGAGCATGAGGTGTTGGGCAATCATGATGACGAAATGATGATGATAATGGAGTTTTTTATATGATTAGAAGTACTTTGCTCCTGAACAAAGGACCACACAGTATGTTTGCTGTTTATTATTTGTTCTTATTCTTTAAACCAGCCATCCATTTATACATCTATCTGTCTATATACCATGTTGTCTAATTGGCAACATACCATATTCATGCCAGCAAAGATGTTTGTTGTTTTTTTAGATGATCAAATGCATATAAAACCTGTATTATATACATCTTATTGTCTTATGAGCAAAAAACAGATGAATGAAAGCCGAAATCTTAACAGAAACCAAACAATTTAACACTGCACACACTTTAAAACAGTTTGACTCGAGCCTTATACAATGAATTCGATTTGGAATGTGTTTTATTTGTTATGTTTACTGTAATGAGAAGATTTACTCAATCATGCAGTCAGTGTAAGCAATCAAGTAAGTGGCTGAATCTGACTAACATACAGTGGGACACAATCAGTGAAAGAATATTAAGTTGCTCCGGCGCCAATCATTCCCCGAGTTGGAGAACCATTTATTCAATAACTGCTGACAACTACCACAAGTCATTTTCAAGGGATATTGTTACCATGGAAACTTAAAAAAAAGAAGAAGAAATTAACAGACTTCATCATCATACACCTCAGAAGCACAATGGGCATGCTTGGTGTTACTCGCATACCAATAAATAAAACATTGTGCCAATTAGCAGAACAACAAGAGTATTTTGGGAGATCTATCTTGTTGGCTAACATACTGTGAGGTATCACCTGGGGCTTGTTTAGAATTGGAGATGGAAAGTGTGCAGGAACTGTAACAAGACCACTGGGCCCAGGTGTTGGGCAATAGCTAATAAGCTACAATAAGTTATAATTTTGTGTTGAAATTCTGTTTCACACGTTCCAAATTGCCAATGCCCATGAAAAGCTATCAATGTTTTTTTCTCTTGGTTGTGCGACTAATATGTGTAGTTTGTATCCTGTCTCCTTATCAAAATTCAAAGGGTTTGGCATATAGAGGGTGTGATTTAAGGCTTAAGTGTGACAGATGTTTGAATATATTGAGACAGATTTCCTAAAAATGTTTTTGGTCATATCATGCTTACCCAAAGAATGATTATCTAAATCATATTGAATTTGTTGAGCCACGCTAAATATATGACATATACAGTATATATTTCAATTGATTAGATAGAATAGAGATGAATTAATGATTAATATTATAATCTCTGCAGTATCAGGGAGAGCAAATGTGTCCTTCCAAAGTGTTGAATTATGCTTGTACAGAGGTTGTGCCCTTCTCTGCAGTGAGGTGTCCATGGTTGCCGACATATTTCAGCCTTGATGTGGTGTTTGGTCTCCTTCCTGTAATCAGAGTATCTGATGGATGATGACAGGGTTGGCACGTCTGCTCAAGGAGAGAGTCCAGGGCAACGCCATCTTTTACTTTTCCCCCAGCTGTCACATGAAGTGTCTGAAGGGCCTGACTTGCATCTGCTGTCTTTCAATGAATGTCTTAACAGCAATAAAGACACCATGTCTTCTTTTATATCAATCCTCGAGATAATATCCCTCTTCTCCTTATCATGCTTGAGTACTCACACACACTCTCAGACACATACAAACACACAGCCTTGCCTCGAATTAGATAAAGTACATCATGATCAGATTAGATGAGATATTAATACACTTAGGAAAGTCAAGGGGACATTACTGTGTATTAAAAACTGATGACTCGCCTTTTACAAAGTTGAAGGAAACACTACTTAAGGACTTTCTTAAGTAGCGGAAAATGATGCAATCTATTATAATTTGTTACACTGTATTGCATCTCTGTTACTTCCCTTTTTTCTCTCTTCCAGTCTGAACCCGTACAGCTATGATGAGAGCTGTGTGTCCAGCAGCGTGGACCACCTGCCTCTGGCTGCTCTCCCCCTCCTTGCTATCGTCTCACCTCGCTACCAGGATGCCGTGGCAACCGTGATCGCCAGAGCCAACCAGGTCTACCGCAGTTTCTTGCAGTCAGAGGACGGCCAGGGATTCACGGGTCAGGTCTGTCTCAAACTTGTTTTGGTTGGAGAGGCGAGGAAATCTCTTTCACCCTAGTCTCTAATGTTAGTGTAATTAAAAGGCAGGTCAAGTGTTGTGGCCGCGTCTACAATAATTACTGTTTTTCTGTCGATAATTCATTTTTTCTACTCGCTGCTATAGTAAAGCTGGTGTAGCGCCTGTTTGAAATGCAAACCCTCAATTTCTTAAGCCAAGTATTTAATTCATTAAACCTTTTTCTCTCCATGTAAGGCAATTACAGTGAAATCATGGGATAACTGACAGAACATACAACCAACCACAAGGCACTTTATTAGAGTCACTGATCAATACACTCCTCATGAGACAGACTCTCAGGAGGTTCAACCCCACAGGTTATATCTATAAAAGTAATTACACCGGCACTTGTTATTGCTATTGTCAAAAGTTGTGGTTGCAATAGGTTGGTAATATCTGTAGAGTTTGTGGTACGTGGTATATGATGTTGATATGTGATATTATTTCCTACTTTTTGGTTTGCTAATTACGTTTTTTGAAGTCAATCCCTTTCCTCTTATTGCTTCAGCATTTTCCCCAAGATTGATTGAAAGGTTATTATGTTTGCAATAATTATCTGTGAGGATTTTCCTTCTTACACTTTGGATTTTTAATTCTTCATTGGCTTTGGTAGTAGTAGTCATATGGATCCACACTGGTAACTCCTCTAAACTGACTAAGGAATTGAGGAAAAAAACCTACTAATGATGAATTCCCTGTGAGGAGAAAGGGAAGATAAGAAAAACACTACCGGGACCGTGTGAGATATTATAGCTGTCAGAAAATCACATTATGTCTGATTCAGAAATACAACTTCTATGGCTATGTGAAGCATTTCTCACATGGCTGCTCGTAATTAGAGTCTGAATAATATGTTGGGAATGCGGCAGGAAAAGATGCTTGATTTGTGAGCTGATGATCCCCCAAAATGCAACAGGCTGCTCACAGCTGCAGAACATAACAATAAATTGTGCTGAATTGTGATGAACAACTCTAGAATGATAGTGTGTAGAAAAAACAAACAAAATAAGTATTGCAAGTTTAAACACAAACATACTAGCAAGTAACAGCACATTTGTATCCTAGTTGTATATTGTCTGGATTTGGTAAACTGACTGTGTGCACCATACTGTGTTTGGAGGCTCACCTAATTATATATATTTCCGGACAGGTATGCCTAATGGGTGACTGTGTGGGAGGTGTGCTGTGCTTCGATGCTTTGTGCTTTAGCAACCACCAGAGACCTGGAAGCCCCAACAACAGCAGCAAGAACAACAGCACTGAGAGCCTGAAGGTAGGAACTCACTGTTACAGCTATAATGATAATGATGATAATAATGGTGATGCACTGGCCTGTACGAGCTTTGCAATTCTCTTAGCTTGGAGAGCAACTACCAGGGTGTAGCAACCAAACAAATCTACCATTCCTCCATCCATTGTCAACCACTTATACAGGGTTGGGTAGCGGAGGTAGCAGTTCAAGTAGAGGGTTCCAAACTCCCCTTTCCCTGGCCACATTAACCAGCTCTGACTGGGGGATACCAAGGCGCTCCAAGGCCAATGTGGAGATATAATCCCCCAACCTGTTCCTGGGTCTGCCCCTCGGTCTCCTCCCAGCTGGACGCCAGTGGAACACCTCCTGTTTCAGGCATCCTTACCAGGTGCCTGAAACACCTCAACGGGCTCCTTTCTACGCAAAGGAGCAGCATCTTTACTCAGAGTCCCTCCTGGTTGACTGAACTTCTCACCTTATCACAGAGATACCATTGAGAAAACCCATTTTGGCCGCGTGTTCATCTTGTTCCTTCGGTCATGACCCACCCTTCATAGGTGAGGGTAGGAATGAAGATGGATCAGTAGATTGAGAGATCTCCCTTCTGGCTCAGCTCTCTCTGTATCACAACAGTGATGCCTCTGTAATTGGCACATACCTTCTGGTCCACCATTTTGAACCATGGAACCTCCACACAAATGTTTTCAGAGGTTGATTTTATGTATCTTAAGTTTTCTGGGCACCTTTGTAGTTTTTTCTATGGTGTGCATTTAACATCTTCAGTTTAATGTTTTTGCAGCTTGTCATTTGATGTCCTTTTTCACCCTGCTAAGCATCGCAGGATCTCCACTTTCTCTCTGCCATCCATCTCTTCTCCTCCCCTTTGCCATTCAAATCCTCTCACATCTAAAAGAAAAGCTCCAGTTCCCATCTGTGTTTTTGTGTAATTTCCTGATGCAACTATCGCTTCGAGTGTGATAGGCTTCACAGTATGTACATACTCTCCTGCTTCCTCTCAGGATAATTCGGGTCTACTGGGAGAGCCTAGCCTGGGTCTGAGTTCTAGCAAGAGGCTCAGTAAGAGCAACATCGATATCTCCGCCCCAAACGAAGGGCACAGCCAGAGCGGGCCGCCACTCAGCCGCAAGCAGAGCGACTCGTATGACGGAGACACCTCGTCCACTGGCCAGCACAGCTTTTTCTCCAGGTAGGACAGTAGGCATGAAAATACCACAAGGTTTGACAGCACAATATATAGAAGAATTTGAGTTAAGTGTCTACCATCAAAGATCAACGAGGTATTCAGCCGTTTCTTTTTTCTTGATAAATTTGAGGTAAATAATTATGGTTTATTTTTTTTTAATCAGGTAGATTTTATTTATCATTTGATTTTTATAAATTATTTTGCCTCATTGAGGTTAAATATTATTTAAATTAGTCAATAGTAACAGATATTCCTGTCATCATATTTCTCCTTTTTCTATATTAGTGGTGGTACACATTCAGTTCACAGTCATGTACAGACACACTATACATTAAGTCAGAGAAAGATTTAGTAACTCTATCAAATCTCTGTCAGTACAAAATAAACAGGATTTCCAAATTCATTCAAAGGCAAAATAATTTTTTTTTTTACACATACATTCCTAAAGGTGAATGCCTAATCCTTATCAGACTGCTTTAACACAGCAATGGTTGTTGTAGGATGGACCGTTTTGAAAAAAGCCAAATAAATACAATTATGTCACAGTTAATATTACAATTTTGGTCCAAAAATTGTTGTTCTCGCAAACTTCCAAACCTTGCAAAAACAAAACATCTGACGTACATAGCTGACATTCTTTCATCTATTTCTGTCAAATAGCATTGTTGATCACAAATGTCAGGCGTTCAGATGAACTCCAGATTTCCAGTGTTTCACCCTGTCTCACTCCTGCTCTTTATCAATATTATCTGCTTGACTGCCCTGCTGGCCTACCTGTCTGTGCTGGACTATAAATAGCCCGTTTGTGCATTTGCCAGACAGTCTGCTGGAGGTGAATTCAGCTCAATTAGGGTGGATGGAGGGGGTTTACTGCCACGTTTACTCAGTTCATGCAACCAGTGTTCCCATTTCAAATCACATGCTCCACTAGGCTCACACCATCACAGTAACAGAGGCACTGAAGAGAGAATCGCACCTATTCACAGTTACACCACATTGTGTTCATACTGTGCACTTCCTCTGCCCTTTCACTTCTTGTTATAGCGATTAATCACAAGCCTTCCTTTGTGGAGGGTAACCTCCACTCCTGGATAAGCTATTTTACCCAGCGCCTCCCAGTGGATATTCCCAGTCAACATGGGGACTTATTAAAGCTCCTCTCCTCTTTTACACACATTATCCCTCCTATAGGACTGGCTTCTATCTCTGGTTTCTCCTTTCCACATGCACACTTACTCTGCTTGGTCCCCGACTGGGAATTGGCTGTGAGATCATTCGCAAATGAATTTGACTCACCAATCTATCTTTGTTAGGGATGTGTGTTTTGGCTAATTCCACTGATATTTAAACAGATGGTAAATAAAACTAACTTCCTAAGTTGAGGAACGGACATAGTTCTCCAAATGTAGATGTCTATACAGTATAGTCTAAAATGCTCAAAAAGAGGATTATGTGCAGTTAGAGCTTCTAATAGGCTTTGTGATAGTCTAGTGCCCATCAGGAATTAAATGTGCAATGTTTTAATTTAAAAGGTAGGCATCAGTGTCAGAGCGGGGCATTTCGATACACATCATCTGTTCATTGCCCATTTTCCCTCATAAAACCACTGACAACCACCTCAATAATAGTGAGCCAATGCAATATGTGTCCTATTTATTTTACATATTGGTAACCATCTGCAGTTAAATGACAAGTGCTTTACTGTAGTTGCTAAATGGAAATGTAGCCCATCCAGGCAGCAAAAATCACACTTTACTTTCTACACCAGCAGGCAACGCTGCTGAATGAAAAGTCCACTTGTTAAGAGAGACTACTAACTGTCATGAATTAAATATGGCAACATGGGACTTGAGTCTATTAAGAACAAAACATGCAGTTGCCCATACTTTTATTGTGCATGTTCACTCTCAGTTCAAGTCAAGATCAGTACTACTCGTACTTTCTTTACATTTCTTTGAGGAAATTAATACGAGAGGATAATTAGCAGAAGTAAAACACATTTTGGCAGACCAAAAGACTAAATATTTTTTAATGGCGTGGCAATAAGGTAATAAGAAGTGAAGCAGACACATCACGGAGGAAAGAAAACAGAAAAACAAAATGGAATCGGAAGGCAATCAAAGAACTGTTGATTTGGCTTTTAAAGATGGCTAGAGACTGTTGGCTAATCCTTTCTCCCCATGCAGGACTTAATGTGGAAATGTTGGCTCTCTAGATAGCAGGCAGATCTCGTTGGGCTGAGACTGGCTCGGCTGCAAGGCTGTGAGTCATAAAGGCCCGGAACTGACAAGAACCCCAGAGTGTTGAGACCATCCTACCTACAATTGATTCAAAACAAAGCAAAAGCATCACTGACTCATCTGTGTAAACATTGAGACTTTTGCCTTCCCAATTCTAACATACACAATAATGACAGTTAAATTGACAGAGTACCCCCGCTTGAAAATAAAAGTAATCAGTGTTTTCCTTTTATTACTGACCTGAAGCATTTAATTGTTCGTTATGAATCATAAAATGAACAATCTATTATCATCTCCCTAAATACTTATCAAAGGATACTTGCAGCATCAATTTGTAATTGGAGTCTCAGTTACATACTTATATCCTGACTACGTGTAATGCTATACAATTGACCTTTAGCCAATAAGAATAGCGTCTCAGAGCAAGCATCTGAGCTCAATTAGCAAACAATTGGACTGGTAGGCCATGACGACATACAGATAACATTCTACACCTTTTGTCCCCAGCCTGATGAAGGACAGTGTGGAGGTGTGTGGTGGCAGTGGCAGCAGTCTGGTGTTGAATCCGGGTCGATTCGACTTTGAGGTGGCAGACTGTTTCCTGCTGGGCTGCCCTTTGGGCCTGGTGCTGGCCATGAGACGCACCGTGCTGCCTACCGTCCAGGGTGAGACTCAAAAACCCATTCTATATCAGAAAATGCAATTTTTCACATCCACATCTCTGCACACTTCTATTGTCTTATTATTAATGTGAACTTACCTGAAAAAACACTGCAATAACATGCAACCTCAGTCAGGTGACATACTTTAGCTGGATTGTCTTTTACTGGGAAATTATTAAAAATGTCTCCGGATAAGATCAGTTTAAACAGATTTTCAATGAAAAAAAATACCCTTCACGATTTACACTACAAGAACATATCAGTGGACCTATCATGCTATATTTGAATAATATATTGTAGGGCCATACCTATATAAAACATGTCTGTGAAGTTTTTTTTTCAAAATACCAAACAGATCATGCATTTTAGCCATGCCTCATTTCGCTCTATTTGCTGTATTCCAGCCCTGTTTTTGCAAGGGCTGATTCTGTGGCAAATGAGCTGCAGCTGACCACGCCCCCCTGCAAAGGAGGGGGGCGTGGCACGAGCGTCATGTTACCATGCTGTTACCATGCTGTTACCATGCCACGGCAACCTCTCATTCCCCTGATAGGTGGAGAGTTGCCCATATAGGCGGAGCTCCCTGTTTCTGACGTCAGAACAATTTCAAATCTGCATCAGTTTTTATCAGATCCGTGGAGGAAAAGAGAGAGGGTTGTGTTTTCTGACACTTGGTGAGTTCCCTGGAACACCGGGGACACATATTCATGTATAAAAGACATACAAAAGTGCATTTTGCATGATAGGTCCCCTTTAAGTTTTTTCCGCTCTACTCAATTTAGTTTACAACAAACAGGGTAACTGCAAGAAGGAACACTAATAGAGACATGCAAAAAAAAATATTAACTGACGATTATGTTGCTCTCAAAGCAATAAATAAAATGTCACCTGGAGTTTGGTTTTGTGTTTGTCTTGTCCTGTTTCCAACCACCTTTGTCAAACATTTCTTATGTGACACAGCTACAACACAAACCTCCTAATGGCTTTACCTCTCCTTTGTGTTTTCTGACCCACAGTGAGCCAGCTGCATCCAGCCTGCTCTCAGATTTTCAACCTATTTTACCCTTCGGACCCCTCAGCCTCCAGACTGGAGCCGCTGCTGCAGCCTCTCTTCCACAAGCTGCCCCCCTTTGCTGTGCCGCGCTACCAGCGCTACCCTCTAGGAGACGGCCGCTCAATGCTCATAGGTAGGACGTGTGATTCGACATTGGAAATCTTGAGTGAGAGCAGCTTCTCTTGAATATTGCATTGGTTAATCCATCTTCTGGTATAATAGCATTATCATATTAATAACCTTGTGGATTTTCAATTTCCAGGCTGCATGAAATATTTGAGGAATTCTATTACAGCAGTTTAGAGATTCTATGATTTAGTAATGAGAATTATCAAAGGCGCACATGTGCAAACAGAGCATATATCCCATCTGTGTGAGTTGCCCTGCAAAGGCAGAGCTAAATCCTGCCCCAACGGGCTGAAGTGAGAAGTAATTATACTTCATCTTCTTGGTTTGCAGTACCTTTACCCTGCCACATCTCTTAGATGATCCAGCACAGCATATGCCATACTAATCTGTAATCTGACTGGAGGGCCTGGTTGCAGAGATGGGGTCTTAATGAGCCAGTGATTTATTGAAGCATGTTTTAACCCACTTTTGGGACTTAGAGACCAGCTCTAAACATCAGTAGAGACGCATCGCCTGGTTCCCCTGCGCCTCAGTCAACCTTCCTCACTGAGAGAAAAGTAGGGCAAGAACTGATCGCTTTAACTAACAGTTTGCTTATTTAAAACAATAAGACTTTGTGGCTATAGAAATATGTATAACTATATGAAAACCTATGTTTTGAGCCAAAACACAGCTACATTTACAGACAGAAGAAGCCAGCAATGTAATTGTTCCATTTAAAATCAGTCACACCCAAAATCATTGTACTAATCTTCACAAATTAAATGTATTTGCTGAGTAATCTGTGTTTCTGACACATAATATTAAATTACCCATATAAAGTAGATTATCTGTTAATTTGATATAACTCTCAGACAGTCACCAAGCAGGATACTTGACGCCTTTAAGAGCCAATACTGCAGTAAAGGTGATGGAGTGTAAAGGCAGACACACAGCGTCGGCTTGCAGCTACACCAGGTTTTAATCATGGGTCTGGAGCCCTGTTCCATTGATCGGGCGTGGATACTGTCAAGTTCTGTGTTTAATTAAAAACTACAGACAGATGCACACGGACACTGCAGACGAGCAACGAGCTGGCTCACACAGAAGAAAAAGGGGCACACTTCACCCATTTCCTGCACTGTAATATAGTAATTAGTTGTTATGAAGGTCTGGAAAGCCAATGAAAATAGGCCCCTGTGGGTACGAGGCTGACATCAACACCTGTCAACGGTGAAGCTTTTATTATGATGAATGGTGCTAATAGGGAGAAAACGAGCCCTCTTCCTATTGATTTCCAGCTCTGGTCCAATGGGAAATATGATGGTAAAAGACAGAAAATGTACATGAAGTTATTGTCATTTTTATCAGTATTAATCGTGTGGCTAACAGTGCTTTCATGTTAAGATGGAGGTGTATGATTTGCTCGGCATTTCCTAACCGAGTCAAAAGTGTCGTTCTGTCTCTTTTAGTCACAAAGACGTTTCAAGGCCACAGTGCAATCATCCTCTGTTACATTGTGCTTTCTCTAATTGTCCCTCTTTGTCCCGTGCGTGCGTGCGTGCGTGCGTGCGTGTGTGTATTAATACATACCATATTTTTCTTTTGCTCAGAATTCAATGCAAGGTCACCTTAAGGTAAACAAACAAAGACAACTAATTCTGCCTTTGAGAGCCTTTTGATTTATCTTTGGGATTCACATTGTACTGTTTGTGTGCTGTTAGTGGCAATAAGTGTTTTTAGTTTTCTTTTACTTCTATTTCCAGGATGAAACCACTAATATAGAAAACTGTAAATCATATACATTGTGATATTGTTATTGTTTTTTTTTCGTGTTTTCTTAGTTTTTTTTTTTTTCATATTATTGATTATTCATCATTAGGGCTGGCCTGGGAAATATATTAATCATACTGTATATCAATATTTTAATGAGACTAAATATCTTCTTAGGTATTTAATATCATATGATCCCATAAGTGTATTTTTCTGGTTTTAAAGTCTGACTTTAAAAGTGATGACTTTTTTCGTTCTGGTATTTCTTTATTAGATCTACATAAAAAGTCAATATTACATTTTCTTTATATCGGCCAGCCCAGCGTAGTGTTGATGATAGTGTATGATGAAGGATTGTGTGAGCATGCTTTGTGTTCGCTTTCTAAGAAACCTCAAAACTGTCTTTGCAATAATAATGATAATGATATAATGAATGAACTTGATTTGTATTGCTCCTTTCAAATAGAGTTACAAAATGCTTTACAGAAAAACAGAATGCATTTAAATACACACAAGGAATGAAATAACCTAAAAATAAGCCACTTAAAAACAGAGAGTAAAACAAACAGTAATAAAACCTAATTAGCATAAATGAATATAAAAACACAGGAATTTAAAAGAGCAGAGAGTTTGCAGCCCTGATCTCCTCAGGCAGGTCCTTCCATAATCCAGGAGCCCTGCCAGCAAAGGCTCTGCGTTCTTGGAGTGACCAATATCACAAATAATTCTGAAATACCTTTTGTACTTCAGTGCCAGCAACTCAGTTTTTCCTTGATAAGTCAAAAATAAATTAAAAACATAAAGAACAAAGAGTAATCCATGTCCATACTGTGAATGAATCCAATTGATTTGAGGTTTTGACTTGTAGAGGAAAATAAATGATACAGGCCTTTCCTTATATTTTTGGGGGAATTCATTAAAGAAAATTACAAGATAAATATGTTTACTTTATTTTATGAAAAACCCAGTATTTCCCCAACCAACAAAATACTTTCTACCCCTGAACAGCTGTCCCATTAGACGAAAAACATCCTATCTAGCATCACTGAATCGATCGCAGTGTGTGTCAGATTCCATAACCTTCATCATCTGTACAGCCCATATTTATTAACCACACCTGATGCACCCCCTCGTCTGAGAGGTTGGCTCCTAATCTGTATTCAGCGGTGGTTGCCGATCCTTCACAGACAGAACACGCAACATGTGGCAGCATCTGGACGTTTATTTATAACCTATCCAGCAGGATGCGGAGAAATGGTTAATCTGCCAATTACTGGCAGCTTCATGAAGCAAAACTGACTATTCTGGGTGATAACTGGATACATGCACCTCCAAACTCATTCCCATTTACAAATATTGAAAGCAGCCATGAGTGGAGCCACAGTCTGTAATGCTAATGTCTGTGTAAGTGAGAGTGGAAGTCATGCAAACTCACAAAAGTATCAGAGAAAACTAAAAGAATATGGTGCAGCACAATCCTCTTAATCCCAGTTTTTCAGGTAAACATTTTCAGGCACACTTGATATTATTTCATCTTGGCTCTCCCTAGCCTGCGCCTGTTCCAGATCTCTGTACCTACCTTATATCCACTCGGTCACATCAGAAGACATCCTAGTGGATTGATACATATTACAGTAAATGGCAGCGGGTAAATGACATGTTGCTGAAGTGGGATCACCGGCAAATTGAGTCTTGGTTTGCTTGTGACACACATACAAATATATAGATTACATTGCTTTTTAGTAGTTGTGGCACACTGTGCAACACAGCGGTGGAATAGACTGGCTCATTCAGACATGAGTCAACATCCACAGCAACAACAAGGTCTTGGTATCAGGATAATGAGCACTCTCCAGAGTCTGGCTAGAAGAAACACTGAGTTTCATAACACAGGTAAGAGGGAAACAGTTAGTGTTCTCAAAGAAAGAGAGGGACATCATGACACATAACTTAAACATATACATACAAGAAAAAACAACAATAAACACAAGTAGACATTTCAAAAAGAGAATAATAATGATATATGTATACAAAAATACAATACCGAAACATACATATTCATTTGTAATTATGTGATTCTAGGCTATGCATCTAACATGGTTTTCCATGATGTCTGATGAAACCAGGTCTCACGGGAAATGTTTAATTTTCCTACAGTGTTAGCGCAAAACAAATAGGCTGGAGATGTGTCGGGTCGTCACTGGGAGAGAGGAACCTCTACAGATACATTATTCTACTTGTCAACAAAAGCCAAGAGCAACATGTTTTTCAGGACTGCTGCAGTCAATACAATTGGATTCAACCCCATGAAGAGTGGGAGCAGTTTTTATCATCAGTGATGGGGCTTGTCTTTTTCCCTGAACAAAGCAAGTCAATACATAGCATATTATTAGGCAAAACAACAGCATTGATTTAAAGACCCGTTTTGAAGCCAGTCAATTGTTATATGATCAAAGCATTTCCTTATCCTCCTTTCTGTTTGTCCTTTTCTCTCCTCTTCTCACCCTCCCTAGCGGAGAGTATCCAAAGCCATCCAAATGTGTTTTTGGAAGGTGAAAAAACTCCTGGAGGTCCAGCTTCACAGACGTCCTCTGAGACAAAGCCTGAAGGAGGAGTAGAAGAGGGAGGTCGTAGAGCTAGCGTGACCAGTGTGGAAAGTGCAATGTCGATTTGCTTCATGGGCCAGCTGGGAAACACCATCACTAACAGTGAGTGGGAGGGAGAGAGAAGAAGCTTCACTGGCTTGTCTCGTTTATTCAGGTTCATGAGGTTCCACAGCTCTTAAGTTGACCTCATATTTTCACATGTTTGTGTTTGTGTGTTTTTGTGTGTGTGTCTCAGTTTCCAGTAGCTGGTGGGGCTCCAAGAGACTGGATTGTGCTCTGTACTGCCCGGATGTGCTGACTGCCTTTCCAACGGTGGCTCTGCCTCACCTTTTTCATGCCTCCTACTGGGAGTCCACTGACGTAGCAGCCTTTGTTCTTCGGCAGGTGGGAAAACCTAGTTGACAGCTATTGTTTTCTCCCAGATTGAGAAAAATGATTGTCTCAGTATTTAGTTTGCAAATATTTTTTAAGTGTAAGTCCACATCCTCAGGTATTTCTTTTTTTTTTTTTTTTACTTTTATGACATTGTTAAAGCAAAATGAGAGCAGCAGGTAACCTCCTGATGTCATTACATCATCATCTCCTTCCGTACAGATAACAAACCACATATGTATTAACTAAAAGTCTGGCCACGAGTCGGTAATTTTATCAACAAACCTACAAAATACACAATATATAAAGAAATGTACCATAACAATTTAACAATTAATGTGTAGATTCTGTTTGAAGAAAGAACACCATAAGTTGAGCTACTTTCCATGAGTCATGAAATGTGTATCTACAGTAAAGAACACACTTCATGATAAATGCCCATTTTACCTCGCCCATTTTAGCCTAGATAAATCATGTTAAAGATCGTGAGGATTGTGCAGTGGTCCGCAAAATGAAAGGAAACGATCATTATCAAGAGGTCTGCATACTTTATCTAGTGCAAAGATGTTTAGGATTCATCTCACACTTCACAGCTGAGCCTCATATCAGAGGGAGCTATTTTTTTACATAAATGTTTGATTTTAGGACTGAAATCTGAACAAATCTTACCAGGATTAGGAAGTTTATGCTGGTTTATGTATACTGGCATGACTAGAATTTGCAAAATTCAGAGGTTAAGAAGTTCCAACTCTTCTATGGCTGGTTAGTATTTTAAAGGTCTGCACATGTTGTCTCAGCTGAGTAGTTATAGTGTTACATCCACCATGTGTGTATACAGTAGCTGCCATTATCCTCAGAAACTAACATGAAGCAGGCCAAAAAGAATAAGTAAATAGGACCGGTGTATCACATCATGTCTAATAACAGCCCTTTAGAACGTTGGCTTTGATCTCGATTATATGAAAACAGAAGAGCAATATCTGCTCTAGCAGAGTGTCGAAAATCTAAGCGTTATTGTCGCCATTAGGAAGCTAATAAAGCCAGATCATTGTTTTTGGTTCAGCGGTTGGCAGCTCCACTTGATGCTGCTTCATATTAAATAATCATTTTGGAGTTTAAGGGCTGCATGGAACATCTTTTGTTCAAGCTAAATGATGTACTGTTCTGACAGTTCAAACTCACTATGTGAGAGAATGTCTTGCAATGATATGAAAGAAATATCCTCTCTATGTCTAAGAGTGGGGAGTGATATGCATGGCTTCTTTCAAGTAGAGTAATTTTATTCAAGTACTCCAAATCCCCCCTTCAGTCCTTCATCTGTGCCAGTGTTGCTCTTGACACAAAAGGTTCCCATTTGATGTGATTGATGATCCGAAACATAATTCCAGGTTTTGTACCAAGACTTAATTTGGTAAAACGTCCATGTTATAAATCTTATGGAAAAGGTACTGACATGAGACTGGGTTATTACTATTAGAAAGAAAACTGATCTGTGTGCTGAACTGAAAGATGTGATTTGATGTGTGAAGGGTTATTCTTCAGTTGAGAAATGACTAAATATATCCCTCCAGTACTAAACTAAAGTCAAATGTGTAGATACTTGTAGTTTGCTTGAGTTGAATTCTACTACATCTGAGATGCAGATATTGTACACTTTTGCTTAATCACATTTATATAACATCATAAGTTACTTGTCAGATTCAGATAATTCATAAAAGATCTAGATAAAAAATGATGCAATGTAAATACTTTCACAAGCTTTCAAATTAAACTGATCAATACCTTAATTCATTAATATATATATATATATCAGTACTTGATGTTTATCTTGATGTTGTTACTTTTTTACACTCCCTTGAGTAAAATATTTTCTATCCAAAAGTTAGCTTTTTACAGGGCATTGCTGTCTGGTAAAAATACAAATATGAATATGTCTTCTATCCCTGCTGCTCTGATATACGCATGTGTTTATTGACAGCTCATGCGATGTGACTCCTTGAAGACTCAGGAAGCGGACAGTTTGGGCTCCACTTCGTTCTCTCCTTCCAGCCCACGAGAAAAATGGCTCAGAAGGAGGACACATGTCAAACTAAGGGTAATTAATTATTTTGCTTTTTGATCTATATGAATACACTTTTGACCCAGTTTTCTCAGAAATATGACATTTATGGCTGCTCATTTAACTTTTAAAAGCTCATATTAAAACTTTACGCGGAAGAATTCATGAATAATTTAACAAAGCACTTTACACAGCCGGAATCTTTTTTTCCCCTTAGGTGCCTCTCGTTCTAAGAATCACCCACCACTCAGAGCCGAACAGCAGCTACTGTTCTTCTGCCGCAACTGCCTTGCATTCATTTATATCAAAAATAGAGTTCTCTCTCACTGCCGAGGTTGTAGTATTATGGACTGTGTGAGTGGTCTGTGATCTGAATTTATTTAAAAACTCCCAATCTTGCACCTTGAAGCATGCAGATGCACACAAATACTTGATGCTTCTGGGCCCTGCAGAGAGGAACAATCACAATCTCATAACACTTCAAAGAGCTTTCATTTGATCTGCCTTCTTCAAAAGACAAGCATTTAGTGACTGCTTGCTTTTCATATTGCTATTATTAGAATGATATTACCAGAGTGACATGGAAAAAGTTCTGTATCTGAGTCTGTGAAGGTCTTTCTCAGTGGCATCTTGGCACAGTGACATGTTTCTTATGTAAGAGCTCAAAGAAAAGCAGCTCTGAACAAATTGCCTTTTACTGTATTTGATTCAGAATGTGGAAAATGAGAGATGTTGCGTGCTGATTCAATCTGGGCACAGCCTGCCCATCTCATTCAGAGTGATACTATTCAATGAGACTTGGCTTCTATTTGTGATCTTCCTTGACTTGGTAAGAAGGAGTTTGACACAGCTGCAGAGGGACCACTAGGTTGGATGTTGCTTCTTACCCTGTTTGAGTGGATGGTAATACTGAGGCGCATGTAGATTTCCTGTATGACCACACGGAGTGAATTGTGTCAGGGAAAACTGTAAGGACTCCTCACGTCACACAGTAGCTGTGATTCTTTTTGTATTTTGTTTGTGTGTCCAGGTATGTGCATATATATATGGTTTGCTTAATCTGCGTGCTAGCTATCAGTGAATCAGTAAGTAGAACCTCATGCTGGTAACAGCTGGAAATGTTTAACTTCCTTGGTCGGTGTCACATCCACATTCAATCAATTATCATTAGCCAATGTGGTGAAACAGTAAAGTACAAGCACAACATGTTTGATCTCATCAGCATATCTTTATTGGAAGACGCTCAATTAGGTTTTTAGCGAGTGCTGTCAATAAACTGCAGTGCATTTTCAAGTCAACAGAATATCATCTCAGCCTCTACTCCAGGGGTCTCAAACTCAAGGCCCGGTTACATGCCCCTTTACAGGAGCAGGTTGCCCATAAACTACATGTCCCACAATGCATCTCGTTTTGTGACATGCGCACTGAAGAGACGTATTTGCCCTGGACTTCTGCTTTCAGACTAAGTTATTATCCTATCCGATAATAATCCAATTCAGAGGCAATAATGTAATATATAATACATTATTTTATATATATTATATATTTATATAGTTACAACCGGCCCTTTGAGTGCAACCTTTATGCGAATGTGGCCCGCGATGATATTTAGTTTGACACCCCTGCTCTACTCCAATAAAGAATCCCTGCACTAAATATAGATGGTGTTAATTTGTTTATCTTGTATCACACTATCCACAGGGCAAAAAACACATTTTAAGTTGCCTACCTACTTGGAAAAAGCAGGGTGTTGATAAAGAGCATGTGTGGCAAGCAATAATATCAGGGATAAAGAAACAGACAAAGTAAACAGCAGAGAAGAGGACGCAGGGAGAAAATTACATTTCCGCCATGATGGCCAACAACAGAGATAATTAAACATTAGTGGGCCTTTTAAAATGCAACCTTTTCAGCATCAAGACATATAGAAGATTACTCTGCTGGTTTATGAAATAGCTCACCAAATAGTGCAATATGGAGAAAAGAACAAAACAAGGAAGCTTTATAGAGCACTTGTTTGGAAGGCCCTACCTCAGAGGCATTTGGTTGCGTGTATTTTCAGAGGAAAGACTCTACAACACACGCCACGTGTTGTAGTGATTGATTGCCAAACATTTGCTGACTGATTGCGGATTGATTTTTGAATCATCTCCAACCTATTGTCAATAGATTACTCACCAAGATTTTTGATTGATCTGTGTTAATGGATGTTAATCTTTGAACTTGGGGATCATAATGTTACATTTTTTTTTTCTAAAACTCAAATCCAGTCAGTCAATAATGTCTTTGTCTTTATGTCTGTTTCCTAACTGAATTGTGTTTTGTGCTCCTTCTTTTTATTTACTGCAGAACGTCACTGCCAACCACAGGGTGAATGACGTCATTGCGACCGAGGATGGGCCCCAAACGCTGGTTGGTCGCTTCATGTACGGCCCCTTGGACATGGTCACTCTGACCGGAGAAAAGGTGAAACTCAGCAACATGATTGGTTACTCCAGATATACGTATCTATTGGTATACATGTTTGTTAATCTCCAACCTCTTGACTCATCCTGCCCTGTTAGGTGGACATCCTGCTAATGACACAACCTCAGTCTAGTCGCTGGGTGCACTTTGACACGGACGTCACCAACAGCAGCGGCAGAATCACATATACCGTACCCAAGAGCAAGAAGCTGGGCCTAGGAGTGTATCCAATAAAAATGGTTGTCAAGTAAGCATATCATACAAAGCACGGAGGAGAGCATTTTTGAATGATCCCATATTTGTCCAGCTAGAGTGAAGATGTCAAGGCCATGAAGGGAGTTACAACAATGTGTAGTAAATGCATTCACTCACTTTTTCTATACCAAAGGGGCGATCAAACGAGTGCAGAGGCCTACCTGACTGTGTTGCCACGGGGCATGGAGTGTGTGGTCTTTAGCATCGATGGCTCTTTTGCTGCTAGTGTGTCAATCATGGGCAGTGACCCCAAGGTCCGCCCCGGAGCTGTGGATGTCGTCAGGTAACTAGCAACAGCCCGTGTGTGTGTGTGTGTGTGTGTGTGTGTGTGTGTGTGTGTGTGTGTGTGTGTGTGTGTGTGTTTGTGTGTGTGTGTGTGTGTGTGTGTGTGTGTGTGTGTGTGTGTGTGTGTGTGTGTGTGTGTGTGTGTGTGTGTGTGTGTGTGTGTGTGTGTGTGTGTGTGTGTGTGTGTGTGTGTGTGTGTGTGTGTGTGTGTGTGTGTGCGCTTTCAGAAGTGAATGTGTATGCCAGCGATTACTGCATTAAAGCCTATGGTTCTTGTTATAGTGCAACAGCCGATCAAATGTAAAGGCTTTGAATTGTTTGATGTTATGTATTCACATGCAGGCATTGGCAGGACCTGGGATATCTGATCATCTACATCACAGGCCGTCCTGATATGCAGAAGCAGCGTGTGGTATCCTGGCTCTCTCAGCACAATTTTCCCCATGGCATGATCTTCTTTTCTGAAGGCCTGGTTCATGATCCCCTGCGGCAAAAGACCATCTTCCTCAAGAACCTCGTACAGGAGGTACTGTTCACAAACCGTTGTTCTGAGCACGTCACCTTTCTTACAAAGCATGTAAAACATTTAGTTCTCTGCCCTAAATTGATTTTGATTTCTGTCTGTTCACATCACTCTTTTGCAAGCTAACAGAGCTGTAGCCCTGGGTCGTGCTATTTCGAAATGCCATACACATCTCTGACTGATAATTCCTTCTGTCACCAGTGTCACATTAAGATCAACTCTGCTTACGGCTCCATGAAGGATATCACTGTTTACAACATGCTTGGCCTCGGTCCCTCACAAATTTATATTGTTGGCAGACCTTCGAAGAAGTACCAAAATCAGTGCCAGGTATGTACATTTATATTTCATTTTCCTTTTATCATCTTAGTTTTTTACAGAATTGTGTTGTGTTTCTTCCTATTTCATTTGAAAGTCTTTAGTTTTCCTCTTGGTATTTCTCATTACTTTAATCGCTCCTTCTGGTTTTCTAACCCTTTTTTCATTGGTGGTATATGCAGTTCCTGAGCGAGGGCTATGCAGCGCACCTGTCCACACTTCAGTTTGGGCACAGAGCCAGACCCAAGAAATCCCCTTCAGTTCGAATGGTCCTGAGGAAGGGCTCATTTGGTCTCTCAGCGAAGCCTGACTTCCTGTGTAAACGCACCCACCTGCGCAGGACCATGTCGGTGCAACAGCCAGACCCCCCCTGCACCCCCAACCCCAAGCCTGAGCGTGCTCAGAGCCAGCCGGAGTCAGATAAGGACCACGGGGGAGGAGGGGGAGGTGGAGGAGGACTTGGCCCATGGGGACGGCCCTCCATACATCGTGGAGACACGACTCCCTGACGTCAAAAAAGAGATGGAAGGATTGCAAGAGGGTACACGAGGAGGAGAGCAAAGAGGTCATAGTGTCCTGGGCCAAGGTGAGATCTTGTGTTTAAATATGGAAGATTTAAAGAATATTTACAGGTTCTAACAACCTTTCTTATTTTTGTTATTTTAGCTACCCTTCTTTACAAAAATAATTCCTTTGCACTATCCTAGCATAACCAAATTCAGTCATTCAATCATGTACAACAAGCAATTATTACTTCCATTTTAGTTGCGCTTGCTTGTTTACCACCTGTGATCACCTGTTTCTTCTTGGATTTGCACAGTAAGATGTGTCACATAATCAAATTGAAATTTGCAGAATGAACACAATTCTAATAGTGCCTGTAAGCAATGTAAATGTGTGGTTGATTGTTTTCCATTAGAGAATAACAAGACCTGTTATTTTATTGAACATTTGCAGCCTCTCACGTGTTACTCAACTGCATCATCTGTTAAGCCTTCTAATCGCGTGATGCTCCGTGTAGCTTTGATGCAAACACAGATTGATTTGCTTGCTAGTCTTGACTCCTAATAAACGCCCACCTTCATTAGCTAATGTTCTTTGATGTACCTTATATATTAAAGTCTTTACACATTAAGTCACTGAGCATTTTATTACCAAGGTAGGGTCTAAGAGCGCAACATAAAGAAGGAAAACAGAAATAATGAATGAAGGAAGCGGTGCAGAAAAGTAACAATGAGCCATTTTTCTGGCAACCTGTGTAAAGGAAGGCTATTATAAGCAGCTCTCTAGGACAGAATGTAGATCCGCCCATGATTATGATAAACCAAGTTCTGATGAGCTACAATGCAATGTTCTCCCATGCTTGAAATTGACTATCTCTAGAGTTGGACATATTGTCAGAGCAATTATGAATATTAAAGCAAAGTCACTGTGACAGCCTGTCGGAACAATATGCTAATACAGAACACGCAATCAAAATGATTTAATCGTACAGAACATGAGACTTAACTAATATTTCCTATATTATTTGACAGTGTCACCTCTACCTACTGTACATGTACATTGGATCCTCTGCTGGCATCGCTTGCAGCTCAGCTCACGCTTGGCCCTCTACACTCTGCCTTTTTTTGTGACCTGCTCAGTGGATTGTCACTCAATGTTTGTGCGTGAGCAGTTGCCAGGGGACAGCAAGGATGTTTTGCAAATGTCTGTGTGGAGCTCAAAATGTGTCTCATTGTCAAATCAAAAATAATGTACCTCATATGCATTCACACACACAAGCTTCAGAGGATGAAATCTGTGAAGACGGTGATGACTCTGAACCTGTTGAGACTTTGCAACAGATTATGGGATTGCTGTGCCAACAGGACTTCATGATGACTGGCTCCGGTCCTGCACTGATGTAAATACTCGACACATGTTCTCCCTGTGTGGGCCTCTGGACACTGACATTTAGGTTCAAGCTGCGCACCAGCTCTGCGATTTGGAGCCCTAAAGATCTGACCTCTCCCTCTATTTCCGGCTTACTACCCCCTACCGTCCCCTTGACCAGTCTGGCAGAACAGGCATTTCAACACCCACCTCTGATCGGGTCTTCAGCCGCTGAGATCACATTTGCACTATTGAAGTGGTTTCTCAATTTAGCTGCGGTAATTGTTTCAAAACAAAGAGTTGTATTTGTATTTGATCGTATTTGTTTTACCTGCAGATTGTGCACTGTTGGTTAATATAACTAATAGGACATTTAACTCAGATAGTTTGTAGGACAGTGTTGGTTTGACCAAAACATGTTTACAGATTGATGGATGTAAAAAGTGATCAGAACTTGTTAATAGCAGTGTAATATCATTATTAACAACAGTAGTTTAGCTGGTTTGTAATTGCAATAGCTTGTGGGACATTGTACAATTTGGCCCATGCCAGTCGAAGTTCCACAAGGATGGCTCTGCATCCATTTACTACATCTGCAGTGGAACCAATATATTTGTGATGATATCTGATGCTTTCTAGTGGGGGTTGAAATGAGTCTTACTGTGGTCCTGTTAAAAACTCTGTGCAAGTCAAACATATTTTTCTATGAGGAAATATTGTAAATAGAAATATTTTCAATGTATGTTTTTGAACCTTTTTTTTTACTTTACTCTTGATTTTTGCCTTAAATTGTATTTGATGTTGTGTAGAGATTTAAAATGATTTAATTTCTTTGACCAAAGCATTACGTTTCACTGTTACTTCATGACAAAGTGCATTACATCGAGTTGATTATTTACTTCGACATGTTTTAGACAATGTCTATGTGTGTGTACGAGTGTCTACAGTAGGTAATTGTTGTAGAGTTGTATTTACTGTGAACTTAAAGACAGCTATGACACATACTGTACAGTACACGTCTCTGCAGAACCAGAGGACATAAGGAGGCCAGTGTTAACATTCCTTTTGTGTTCTTTTCAGGGCTGAGCGGGTTTTATAGATTTGGATTGAAGCAGTGTGTGAAAGGATTACTTAGTCAAGGTTGTTATACCTGCTATGAAAGGGGAAAAGGATGATGAGTTTTCCGGGTGTACTGCAAACCTGCACAGCGAAGTGGAACGTGCCAGCCAGCAGAGAGCTGTCTTGCCTTTTTATTTCACCGCCTGTACACTATAGGTGGTCCGGTAATTAGCTGTTTGATTACTAATAGGTATGTCTATCTTCCCTTAGTGCCACCCCTGTAATTTCAGTGCATTACTTGGTAATTATATAATATTATAGAAACAATACTGAAATACTTTCTCTTGTTTGGGAATAAGATTGTTAATAATGAAACATTGTTATAAAAGCATCAATATGATCATTTCCCCTAATGTATACACAATTGTTATAGCAACTTCAAAGTCGTTATAACACATATTGATATTTTACTGCCATGACGATACCATTGAGGAGTGGGCTGCATTTTAGTACAACAATCTTAGCAAATGGCAAATGATAATCTAATGGTTAAATTGATGATTGTTCTCTGCATGTTAATTATTGGATATTGTTAACTAATGGCAATCAATTGTGATCTTTGGTATAACTGGTCTTTACCATAAATCCTACCACCGAATGTTGAGTAAATGCACATCAGTACTTGAATTATTGATAACGAGCTGATTTTTCAATGTTAAGAATGCTATAATTGATATTGTTATTTAAGATTGTGACTTTACCTCTCACCTTTACCTTACAAATTCACTTATTCAGTGGGGATTATGGAAATCATATACATTCCAGTTTCATCTTGACAAATAACCCTACTATCAAAGAAAAAAATAAAATATAGTACAAGGTAAAAAATATTGTATTTATTGAGAGATTTAACCGTCACACAATTATTGTCTTCAATTAAATATAACAAACCTCTACTTAAGTACTGATAGATGTTTTCAATTAGTATTTACCATTCATGACTTAACTATTAGGTATTGACATAATTTGCCATTTGTTAACTATAAGTATAACTTATAAAGTAGTATAAACCTTTATTTGACTAACATTGTGTTGCAGCCTCTTTAAAAAAAAGTGATATATTTTTTTTGTGGTCTTATGTTTAGTCTCAATAGTATTAGACACTGGCCTTTTGACCAATGTGTATTGTTTTGTACAGATCCCCTGGTGACCAATATGTTATTGTGTTTATTGGACTAAGTCCATCTTTATTGCATAAATAAAGATATTTCACAGTTGAATAATTTATTTTCCTCCAGAGCTGTGTGTTATTATTCCTTTCATATTCTTCTCATATGTGATAAGCTTGATTTCTTCTTCAAGGTCAGAGTTACTATGGGGGCATAAGACTTACTGTAAGTGTGATGTTTTATTTTTATTTGGACATGCATTGAAGGGCTTACTAGGTTGAAGAGTCACATTTAATAAACACTCACTCTAACTTTCTTTTTTTCCTTAAAGAAAATACTTGTGGATCAGCAGGTCTGATGCTGCACTGATTAGAGATATGGAGTGTTGGCTTTACAGTGACTCTTTTCCACCTCAGGCAATCATCAGAGCAGCACTTCTGCTCTACTAATAATTGGCTACAAGCCTGTGTGATTGCTAGAAATAAAAACACTTACCAATTTCCCGCCTATGTGCTGATAGTAAGAACCATTGATTTCAACAATGCGCAAATCCAGGTTGCTATTGTGTTGAGTTATTTACACTACATTCAGTTATTGACAGCATACTGTAGCTCCATGAGGCTGGGGCATGTAACACATACATATTTGACCAATTTTGTCCAGTAATTGTATAAACTCACAAACTTGAGCTGTTAAATCAGACGTGGTTGCGTTGAATTAGATCATTAAGTAAAAATGGAAAGTACCAGAAGCATGTTGAGTATTCACCTGCTGAGCCTACAGCTTTTAAATGGTCTTCTTTCCCGCACTAATAAGCCCTTTGAACAGTACACTGAACAAATCCTGAACATATGAGCTTCTTTGCGTTGCATTAAACACAGTGAGGTCACAAGGACAATTACCTCTATCTTGAGTCTGTATAAAGAGTTTTCCTTCCCCAGGCATCTGGTACAATGAGCTGGAGCTGGAATTCTCCAAGCAACATTTAAACATCATTAGTAACATATGGTCTGGGAAAACCGGCAAAGCAATTGCTCCCATGCAAGAGGAAGGACTGCTGTTTTCTTATACTGTAGGCTTCTTTATTCGCATGGAAGATTAGAGTCAGAGTGATGGCAGGGATTTAAGTGATTAAAACTCAGCAACCGTTACTGGCTCCAAGTCCTTTCAATTTGTGTCCCTGTACTCCCCGTTGTTATGCCCGTTTGTGCGAAATAAATCAGTGTAAAAAATGCACCATCTTTGTCCCTCTTCTAATTTGTTCTTTCCCTGATTCACTACTTAAGATGATCAATATATTGAATCAAGGACATTTTCTCTTCAGACCCTTAAGTAAGAGTGGACTGCCGCTATTTAACCAATCAACAAGGCGCTCAACCTGCTTCCTTGGGGAGTGTGCTCTTTATTGGAAACAGCATGTTTAAGTACAGGGTCCTCATGGGATTTTTCAATTCTTAAATGCTAAAAGTAGCATGTTCGTCAGCAAACTTCCTCTCACCTTAAGTACTGAACAGATCCACTTGTCATGTATGCCTGAATACTATACACTTACAATCATACACCTTGTATCTGTATATCAGTGCATAAACAATCATTCACACATACACAGTCTATTGTATCTATTCGGCAGATTTTATCCTCAATCTGGTGTTGCAAAAGATACTTTACATTATATCACCATCTCTGTATATTTGTATTGTCCTCTTTAGTAAATTAGATTAAATTAATACAGTCAGCATCTATCTGTGTCTCTATTGGTGCATCCCTAATTGCCATACTTGCTTTTATAATGCTTCTGGATAAATGAGGTCACAAAATCTGCTTTTGGATCTGACTATAATTCTTTGTTTGCTGTTGTTGCAGGGTTTTTTGTGCTGCAGCTGCATGGCAAAACACAGCATGCAGCTGTATTAGGGTTGCAAAAAGATGGAAACTTTCCATGGGAATTAACGGCAATAAACGGGAATTAACGGGAATAAACTGGGAATTTTCAAAATTGAAGGTTGGCTCTTCATAGGGAACTTAAATATAGTTGGGGAAAGTATATTTTAGCATAATCTTGACTAAATCAAACAGATGCCATTCAAGTACACTTGAATATCCATGCCATAGCACACTGCTTACTGCATGGCTATTGAGACCACACAAAGGTTCGCAACAGGCTCACAAATGTGAGAGTGGAAAAACTGGTTGGCATTCGGGCAAACCTAAGGCTCTTTGAGCCGGACACAGAGCCATCCTCAACAAGGCTGGACAGTGACACTGAAGAGGAAGACTCAGAGTTGGATGTTGATGAGGCCCAGGAAGAGCCCATTGACTGAAAGGGTTTAGCAAAAATGCAGAGGATTGCTTGAAGGAAGATGTGCATGTTTAATGGGACTGTTTGGAGGGAGAAGGGCTCTTTTCATTTAACATTTTCAATGGGACTTTGTGGGGATTTTTGAATGGGGGGTGCGTTTTTGTTCATTTTTTTATGAGTGGGGTTGGGGGGGATGAGTAATATTTAACTCAACATTCCTGTTTTCGTTCTTCAATGAAACAAATAATTGTTCAATAAAATAATTAAAACTTCTTCTGTTCTACTTTAATTTTGCATCGAATATTTCCAAAATTCCCTAGCTTAACTTCCCATGGAAACTTTCCGGAAATTTACCGGAAATGTTCTGCCCCTTTGCAACCCTAAGCAGTATACTGTATTACTTGAGGAAATTCTGAAGAGCACTGAAAACGTTTTCTTACAAGATATTCTGTAATACATAAATGCCCTCTATTTAACATAGCACCTGTGAATCTGAAATACTGGTCAAAGATTACAACCTGATGCTTCCATACGAGAGAAACCATCATCCTTTCTTGCCTAAGTTAATTAAGTTTATCTTCGCAATATAAAATAAGTCAGTTACCTGGCAGCAACTTAACACTTCCCATGACCGCAGGCAGCTCTGCTTGGCCGAAACACCACTGAGTCAGCCTAATTGTCATTCCGAAACAGCAGATAAGAGTTTCATTTGTCCTGTGATCTGGCAGGTAATATGTGGATGCCAGGGCAGCGATGAGGAATGCATTACAATCTGAATGGATCAACAGGCCAGAGCAGCCTAGAGAGGGAGAGAGAGATAGAGAGAGACAGAGAGAGAATTTTTTTCATTCCTGAGGTCCGCAAGGAGAGACAACGATCGAAAAAAAAGCTGGCATGGCAACACTACTGTTTAGTTCAAGCCTGTTTAAGTATTACTTTTTAACACATTGAAGTCTTTCTTATTTTAAATGTTGTGCATGATTGTTTGATTTATTTTTTGTAAAATAGTTGCCTGTATGTCTCACGATTAGGGTTGCAAGATTCCGGGAATTTTCAAAGATGGAAACTTTCCATGGGAATAAACGGGAATAAACTGGGAATTTTCTAAATTGAAGGTTGGCTCTTCATAGGAAACTTAAATATAGTTGGGGAAAGTATATTTTAGCATAATCTTGACTAAAACAAACAGATGTCATTCAAGTAGACTTGAATATCCATGCCATTCCTCAATCACATGCACATAGCACATAGCTTACTGCATGGCTATTGAGACCACCCCCGACCAAAAGGATGAGGCAAGATTAAAATGTATTGTGGATAGCAGCACTGGCGTAAAATATGGTTGCTTTGATGCGTACACAATCCTGTTATTTAGCCTATAACACACGCTTCTGAATTCAGTTGTGGGTCAGGAGAAATTACTAAGAATTTAGGAACCCGCTGCCCAAGAATACTTTCAGGGGGTGAGGATGGGTGGTGGGGGGGGAAGGACAATATGTAGATTGCATTTGAGAAAGCAATTACCCAAAATGCCCCCAGGAGGATAGGGTCGGATGCCGGAGCAACATGTCACAGCTCACAGTGCATCAGATGTGACAGGCTCTGTCCCTTCATTCAGAGATCCCATCTTTCCCCGCCACTGTTAACAAAGTCATCAATATGTAACTGGTCTGAATGTTCTGACTGCTCTAGGAACGGATAAACATTTAGCATTTTTGTTTTAGTCAATATGTTATTTCTCTGCTTTGAAATTTCCTTTTAATCCAAGATGGTAGATAAAGGTATCTCGATCTTACTACGTAGCTCCATAAGATCTGGGTTTTTTTTGCATTTTGAAAGACAAAATGAAGGTGAACAATTGAAGCAGAACCAAATGAATAAACAGTGTGTGCTCCTCAGAGATATGATTTATTCAAACTTGTATAATCAGTAGAATAAATGGCCCGAAGAAAGATTTGCTCCTGATCCTTTTATCCCCCTGGAAACCACAGGCAGTCTAGTGTGCATAGTAAAACATATTTGGCAGAAGAAGCGGGATCAAAATGCTGAAGCTCAAGTAATGTTCAGCTGAGATGAACTCGTAAACCTGGCAGATTAATTTTTAACTTTGAAACGAGACAGTTGGGTTTAGAAAGCATCTTTTGTTTTTGGACTGTTTAACTTTGGTTAGTGATATGGGTGATAGTGAGTTTCCTAACGTGCAAAGCTGAAAATGATTCCTGTGGTTATCCTCTTCTCTGTGTCTCATGAACACCTAACAACAGTATGCTGTGTGCTGCTGTGTTTTTAACTTTTTCTTGTGTTTAAGTTTTTGTTTCCTGTGTGAGACAATGTTTTTTACAAGTCGCTGGATGTATCTATCTTTTGATCTTTATGGTCTGTGGTTTTCTTCCTCTTGTTAGTGTCACAGATTGATTTGTATAGCTACACAGGGGACGACAGCACGATGTCAACAAGCATAGTCACTGGGGGTTTTTCTGGCTGACATGTGGAGCTGAATATAGAGTTCACAATGTACAACAATGACATCCTTATAACATGGCCTACATGCTGGGATATATTCTTTATCTTTTTTAAATGTTTAAGAAATCATTTGACATACAGTATATACCTAAATTGATAACTGTGATCTAAAAAATATGTATTGTGGCTATTTACTACTTTAAAAACTAGGCTACTGATGGGCGGCCATAACGAGATTTTAGTTACGATGCATGCTTTCAGTAAAATGCTGAGTTTGTAAATGTCTGTATAACACAGTTAAGCACAACTCACCAAAGGCTGTTTTCCACAGCAAGTACAAACC